TCAGGCATGGCATACACAATATATTCTGTTACAGTTTGTAAACATGGATAATGCAAGGTGGGGTGGAAGAGACCAGCTCCAAGTCCTGAAAAGTGATCAAACCAGATGAGTCATCTGAATTTGGGATATCCCCACCTGTCCAAAAGGAATGTTCAACAAGTAACAATTAAAAACAATATTAGTATCCCTGGCAGAAGCTAATGCTTAAATATCTGAGTCCAAAAAGAATAAATGCCCACTGGATGGATGGATAAAGGAAGGAAAAAGAAAGGTCTTGGATGTTTTCTTTGCCTCTAGGAAAGGCTGCATTTGGGTCACCAATAAGAAATATTTTAAATGGAAGACAGGGAAATGAGGGGGAGTTCTTCAAAATAATCTGCAATAAAATACACGAACATATAAACAGCAGACTTTTGCACTTGAGGAAATGTGGAGCAGGCTATGGTGCAACAAAAAAGTCAGCCAATAAAAACATTCACCCTCACTTTAGGAATTTCCCAATGTAACAAAGCAACAGTCTGGCTATCACCAATTCTCGCAGTCTCTACATCAAGACAACAACCATAACTGTGCCCTCAAGTTAACAGCATTCACGCTGGAATTGGCAGCTTTGTTGGGAAGGGGTAGAAGAAGAACTGATATATTCACAAATTCCAAGTAATGAACATATTAAAGCCATGGCCAAGATGGAGCAGACAGAGGACAACCAACCACAATCTAGCCTCATGATGTGAAGCGTCTGCTGCACTTTTAAAACGCAAATTAAAGGTGGGAAAATTGGGGGTAGGTGGGAATGTACACATGTGGTTCACAAAGGGAAAAGAGGAAAATCCAGATAGTGTATCAGTGCCATGCAATTAAAGTTATAAAAAGAGCTGATATATCTACTGACATGTCTATTAAGAATCACAGTATCGTCTCCAACTTATAACTGAGATATATGCCAAAGAAAGCTGGTTCTCGGAATACATCTTCCAATGCATGACAGCATAACTGTTGATAGCATAATGGTTAAAGGGCAGAAGCAATGGAGTCTGCCAGACGTAGACTCAACTCTCAGCTCTTTTCACTTACTAGCTAGGTATCCCTGGGTCAACTTAAGACTTCTTCAAGCCTTAGCTTTCTTTCTTTTCCTTTTTTTTTTGTGAGGAAGACTGGCCCTGAGCTAACATATGTTGCCAATCTCCCTCTTTTTCCCCCCCTCCCCAAAGCCCCAGTACATAGTTGTATATCCTAGTTGTAAGTCCTTCTAATTCTTCTCTGTGGGATGCCACCACAGCATGGCTTGATGAGTGGTGTCTAGGTCTGCGCCCAGGATCTGAACCAGCAGACCCCAGGGCACTGAAGCAGAACACATGAACTTAACCATTCGGCCACAGGGCTGGCCCCAGATTTCTCATCTTAAAATAGGATCACCCCTCATAAGGCTCTTGTGAAGACTAAGTGAAATCCTTAAATTACTTATTAGTACCTAGTACATAAATGCTCAATTAAAAACTATTATTAGCCAAAGAAAAGACTACTTGGCACATAATATAACTTAAGAATTTCCAAGCACATTGAAATAAAAAATAGGAGAAAACACAAGCATTAGTTTTAGTTTTGAAATGAATTCAATGTTTTATAACTTGAATTTGTATGATAACCAATTTATTTACAAGAAGGTAAAGGGGGAAAACGTAGCTGAACTTCTATAGAAAATCCAAGGTTTTCTGGGCCTGGTTTTAAATCAAGTTTCACTTCAAAAAATGGTCTTCTTGTTGCTCCTTTTTATGGGGGAGGAAGGGAGAGTCATAGAGTGGGGTTAGCACCTACAGAACAAGAGGAGTGGGCAGGAAAAGGAATCTGAGTCAGAATGTACCTAGTACTGTAACAACTGACCCAGGAAACAAGTACTGCTGCCTAGTGGGGAAGGCCAGCAAGAGAGCCTATATTAACACTCAAGTAATACTGTATTGCTGGTGAGAACTACCCAAAAGAGTGCTGACCCAGCCAATCTGTACCCCATCACCCCCAGGATCCAAAGAAAACCATGTAGAAAATCCTCCGCTCCCAGGAAGTGTGCAGTTGGACTAGAGAGGTCCCCAAATAGTCAGAGATGAATGACTGGCTTGCCTACCAGGAACCTGAAAGGGGTAGATGGTCTAGAACGTACTACACAGGGTCCTGTAAAGTATAGAGCTGGCAGGAAAACTGCAGTTAACTTATCTAGAACCAAGATTCTGCAAAGGCAACAACAGTCCTAGTAGATCTCTTGGGACAACATTTTTTTACCTCTATCAAAAATAAGCTTAAGGGGCCGGCCCCGTGGCCGAGTGGTTAAGTTCTCACACTCTGCTTCGGCAGCCCAGGGTTTCACCGGTTCAGATCCTGGACATGCACATGGCACTGCTCATTAGGCCATGCTGAGGCAGCATCCCACATACCACAACTAGAAGGACCCAGAACTAAAATACACAACTACGTACCTGGGGGATTTGGGGAGAAATAGCAGAAAAAGACAAAGAAGATTGGCAACAGTTATTAGCTCAGGTGCCAATCTTTAAAATAAAAAATAAGCTTACTCTTACCGTTTTTCATAATTTGGAGTTTACTCAATTACACATACAAAAATCAAATCACACTGACATAAAAACTGAATGGCACATCCCAAAAATACTATATATCGGGGGGGGGGGGGGAGACGACTAATTTTTCTACTGGAATTAACAAAAAAGTGATTGATGAGATCCCCATTATCAAAACCTGCAACACTAGAAAGCTAATGAGGAGGAAAACATCAAACTGAGCTTTGTTAATAGCTAGTCTGAGAAGATGTGCCTTGAGGCCAGAACAAAGAATGAAAGTGGGGGAGGGGAGTTGACACAGAGGAAAATCCAAACTATATAATGCTCATACTTGGAGACACCAACTGGACAAAAAGAGGCCACTGAATATTATGAACATGTCTTCCTCTTGCTGTTGAACATGGAAAGGGGCAAGGACCCCGCTGCTAATCATATTAAACACACTGTCGTCCCCACGCTGCACAGGCAGTGCTCCCAGGGACTCCCTCCTCACTTCCCTGAAACAGAGATCCCGAACCGCCATCTCTGGGAAAGCCAGCTGTTACCTGTTCATCTTCAAAGCACCACAGAATAAGTTTGTGCACCAGTTGAATTTCAGGTTACTTAATGGTTACATAACATTGGTGCAAAGTAAATTGAACATTCTTTTGCAGTTGAAATTATTCATCAAGTGATAAATATATCCTTTGTCAAAACTGTAACAACAGATTTTACTTTCAACAGTCAACTGCAATCAATCTGTAGCTATACTGAAAGGGAAAAAAATGGATGTCAGTTAAAAATCATGAAAATTTAAAATTACATAGAAAGGTGACACTTTTTTTGAGGCTGTATAAACTTAACTCAGTGAAAAGAATTACTTACTCTATTATTACATGTTCAAGTAAATAAGTAAAAATGTATTTGGTACCCAAGGGAACATCAGTAATACACTGATGACATACATTTTTTTTTTTTTTTTAAGATTGGCACCTGAGCTAACAACCGTTGCCAATCTTTTTCTTCTTTCTGCTTTTTCTCCCCAAATCCCCCCAGTACATAGCTGTAAACTCTAGTTATGGGTCCCTCTAGTTGTGGCAGGTGGGATGCCGCCTCAACGTGGACTGACAAGCGGTGCCATGTCCACACCCAGGATCCAAACCTGCGAAACCCTGGGCCGCCGAAGACGAGCGCGAGAACTTAACCACTCGACGACGGGGCAGGCCCCGATTACAAACTTTTTTAAATACCATAATCTTTTTGACAAGACAGGAAGGAATTATTTCAAATTACACCATATGCATGTCTAGCAAACTAAGAACAGAGTTAAAAGAAACTGACATGGATTACCACTTATCCTATAATATATACTAGAAAGGACCAAACTGATTTATAATAATTTATTCTACACAGTCATTTAACAAATTATAATAAATATTTAGCTCTATATGGAGTCAACATAAAAATTTAAAATGATGCCATGAAAACAGAAGTCTTGGTTCCAGAAAACCTAGGTTTTGCAAGTCCAGCTTCTTAAAGTGACCTTGTGTGACATTTAATTCAATTAAATATTTGCTGTGTACCTAATTAGATGCCAGGCGCTACACTGGCACTCAAAAGTATAAGCCAAATATGGTTCCTGCCATTAATTAGGAAAGGAGAAGCAGGTATAAACAGGCAGTGGAGTTCCCGAAATGCAAACTCGGTTCACTCCATAAGCATTTGCCGAGCATCAACGCGCTGTGCTGCGGCCGCCTAGGGATACGACAAATGCTCTGAAGCTGCAGTCAGAGTCCAACGACAGTGTTACAGGGGAGAAGAGAGAACTGCTCTGCCTGTTTCACAGGACTGCTGTGCTAAGTGTAAAGCACTGTTTCAACGAGAATGCTAGACAAATCCAAAATTACTTACCTAAGCCAAAAAAGAGAGAGAATTAATGAAATTCAAATGTACAGATAATTTCTGCAATTATTTTCCATAGTTATCATAACCAAAATGCCATTTGAGTTTCTTTATGATAAAAGAGAACAGCAAAGAAGAAAAAAATTTTCATAAATTGTTAGTCATTTGCGTAAAAATTACATGAGACATAGGAAACATTAATGGGGTGTATAAAGGTTGTTGAAAATGAAAGCTATTTTTAACTCAACATATTCAGGAAATTATGCCATACATTTTGCTTACACAAGGAAACTATCCACTGATGAACAATGGCAGTAAATATAACCATTCTGCATTTTTTAAATTACCTTGAGATTAAGGAGAAAACTAAAAAATCCGGTTGGCAGACCAGTTTATTAACAGGCCCCATATCTTTGGCTGAGTTGTAGTTAGTAATGACATGGTTACTAAAACAGGCATGCAAGCGAAACGCTTGCTGGTGCTTGTTCTGCCTCCCTCTCCCCCCTCTCTTGGAAAAACTGCATGCAGTGCTGCACGATCACACAAAATAAATACAGGAAAGGGGTTGGGAGGGTTGGGTGGGGAGGTGAGCGAAGCTCTGGGCTCCACCAGTGGAAGGCGTTCCACAAGAATTGCTACAGGGTCAAAAGTTTACAGTGGTTTCAATTTCACCTTTTAGCAGCCAATCAGGAAACAGAGACTGCACACTGACCCCTCAGGCTGCAAATGAACATTAACTCATTGGCTACCAGGATTGCACATATTCCTTTTCTTGTAAGGCTTTCCTTTTCTTCTTCTTCTTTGCGGGGGGGAAGGGGGGTTGGGGAGGGAAGGAAAGAACATTTTAAGCTCAAGTTGACCATTTTATTTAAGACCATGTATTTTAAACGGGTATTTGAGGGGAGAGATGACCAAGTAATTATCTTTCTCCTTGAAATCAGTTTCTTTATCCTGTAGTATCTAACAAACCAATCATTAATGCTAGTATCAAGACATCTAGGCAGGTTAAAGAGAGATTTATCTCCATGAGGCTGCAATTCTAAGAACAATTTACAATATGATGAAAGATAATGCTGTGGTGTGTTTCCAGTAAATGCTTTAAAAATAACTCAGATAATGAAGGCATTTAATTATTTATCTACACCAATTTTTTATTTGCATAGATTCCCCACCTCCTCTCCAAATCATTAACATAAGCATGCAACATATCCATCCCTTTCATACTGTACATCTACCGAAATGCAGGTACAGCTCCTAAGGTTCCAGCTGTCTTTTCCTGTATTTCTCCTCTCCAAACACTTCAGTACCCAGCAGTAATCCTCTATAAAATAAACTCAAGAGCGAACTCTTTGGCAATGAACACAACCACTCTCTAACTCATTTTTTATGTAAATTTCCTCCAAATGCAGAAAACACAATAAACTAATCCATTAAACACTCTTTTCAACATTCTATATTTAACATTAAGCAAGGTTAAAATGAAGATATGTACAATACACACCTTAACTATCCTACATTTAAGAAACTAAATTTCTTTGAAGCATTACATGATACAAGTAAAACAGCTACATTAACTGCTCTATCAAAATGATCAGTTAAACCCTAAATAAGCAGATGTGTGAATCTGTAGTTAGCAATACATCTCATTAATACAAGAGGTGGACGAATTTTAGCAGTCTTATTGACTTAAACGTAAGGTTTTTTGAAGCCCTTATAGGCACTACCACTGCCTAAGAAAATGACTGCATGTAGGATATTGGTTCTCTTATCCAAATCAGCATAAGCCAACACTACAGCTATTTCTGAACACCCAAAGGTAACCAATATACAAACGTCCTTAACTTAACACATCTAAAGGGCCTCAAAATAAATTCACAGTGTATAAAGTTTCCAGAGCAATTTAAGGTCAGTTGTTAAGATGGTAAATAAACTTAATGTTGAAATACAGGTTTTTTAAATTCAGCGTTAAAACAATTTTTTAGTAACAACTCCCAAACCTTCATGATTTAAGTTTATGCATTATTTGTCAATAAGAAGTCTATACTTTTAAAATCTAGTGTTTTTTTTTTTAACATGGCTTGCAGGAGCTTTTTTAAATAGTAAAGTAGGAGTCTTCTGTATATCTTCTTTACAAGATGGCCTCATTTTGAAAGAAAATGGATGCGATAAAATTTTACATCAAGTCAGCATGTTAGCAAGAAGCTTTTTTGTGTGTTCTGAATTTGATTAATACAAGCCAAGGTCACTTCCTGAAAGATGCCTACCATTGCAGCTGCAGGCAAACTAGGCCCTAGCGTAAGGCTGGGGGAAGGGAATGGGTGATGGCATTTATTAACACAGATAGGCTTCCATCTCCACCAGCAGCTACAGAAAGACAGCGGGGGCGGGGGGGGGGGGGGGGGGGAAGGGACGGACGGACGGACGGACGGACATAGGGACAGACAAAGACATGGCACAGGACGACAGGAACATCTCAAGATTTCTAGCATAAAAAGATTGAACTATTTCCACTCAATATTTAAAAAAGGAAATTTAATTCAGTATATATAATACTCACGTCAAAATTACATCAAAGATACCCTCAGTGCTAAAATACGTTAAAACATTTCACTTAATACTATACAAATCATCTAATACCAGACATTCAAGTAAATTTAGCATTCAACACAATACAACGTGCACTTGCTATGCAAAACGCCTACAAAGGAAGATACAGGCCCCTTAGGAAAACAGAACCAGAGATTCAAACTTCTCTTGTCTAAAACCAAGAGTGGCCTAAACGTTCAGAAAGTAGAAATCCAAAACACAAAAGCCTATATTGCAAAATATTCACAAACATTTTGTACTGAAATTCAATTTAGTTTCCTCTTACCAATATTAATGCAAATATTATCTCTCTCTGCTCAAAAAACAAACATCAAAATAAACATTATCAACCACTAGAACAAACCCTCTCCCTGAATAATAACAGGCAGATTTAACTGAGCAGTTACTACGCACAGCCAGGAAACCACACTAAGTACTTTGCCTGTCCTCTCTGAGGTTCTATACACATTTCAACTAACTGGATAAAATATTAGGTAGAGTCAGGAAATCTATACACTCCTTGTACTTTTCTATAGATAGCCTTGGATAAATTAGATTGATTTTGTGTGCCTCATTTTTCCTACCTACTAAATGGGAGTTATGGTTGAACCACAATATTCCAGGGATATATAATCAGCAAATCACCTCTGTGTTTTTAACGTTTGTATAATAAATACAATACCTGGCCTTTCTCTTTTTTAATCATCAGCATGTTCAAAGCCATTTTATTTCTATTTTTACATAAATTGAAAATATAATTCCCTCCCTTATGCTCCCCAACCCTTTATTCTGATTGAAGTTTGGTTCAGTAACTTCAGCAACAAAAAAATGAGCAGATAGTAGATGCTCAAGTTCAAACAAACCGATACTGTTTGACATTTTTTTTCCCCAAGCCTTTGACCTTTCAATGACTGGCCGAAAAGGGCTATTATTTAATGGCACAGAGTTTTCTGTTTATGTAAAGGGCTTTTTAAAATCATTTTTGGAAAAGGAAAGCAATCAAGTAAAAAATACTGTGAGAAGTCCCTGAATTCAGAGAATCTAGTGGCTAGGCGTGGCAAAGGCAGGCATTCAGAAGAATTCAACAAGACTTAATCACATGCCTTTGAGACGGGAGAACCTCTAAAAACAGACAGAAGGCAAAATTAAATTATTCATACTCCTTCTCCCCAGAACACCTTGTGAGGCACAAAAGGGGGATAAATTCTTTCCCAATTCTCCTAGCCTCTATATTCTTTCTATCACATGAATTGCTCCAAAAATAATTCAGAACAAAGCACAGAGCTAAGCAGTAGCCAGCTTCTTGCCATAGACCAGCATGCGAGGTGCCATCGTTCCCTCACATCTCCAGCTAAATCCTTCTCCCTGGTTTCCTCCAAGTACCCCACGCGTTCCTCACTTGGCAAACAACACAGACTAAACTGGGGCCGCAGCAGCTGGCTGCCTGGTCTTCTTCCTGTACCAGTGCAGCTTCTGTGCCAAAAATAGAACCTGAAAGGAAATATTGACTATAAAATAACAGCAAACAAAATACTGGCCTGCATGTCTTCTTGCTCTGTCGGAGTGGTTCATAGACAAAAGTCTGAGAATCACTCTTTAAGATTCACAGAATACGTGTTTAAAAAAAGACTCAAATACTTTCTATGGCATCAAACTGGACTGGCTAGCTCATAACTGAAAAATTTTGTTTAAAAAAATACAAAGTACTATACCATATAAAATGGTATTATTAATCAGTAATAGCATAACTATGCTATATGCTTACTCTTTTAAAAGCACATTAGACTATACACCTCAACCACACCTCTCAAGAGAAAACGCTATGAACTGTCACCAGCACATAGTAACACCAAGTGTAAATCATCCATTCATTTCACAAATGTGTGCTGAAATTATACCATATTCTACCCTACTGCTAGTCCAGATTCCGTGGATACAAAGGTAAACAAGACACAAGGCCCTCAAAGAAGTCCTTAAATTCAGAGAGCCTAGTTCCTAGGTGTGGCAAAGGAAGGTGCTGAGATTTCAAAAGACCTAAACACATACCTGTGAGACGGGACAAACACTAAAGATGGACAAAGGATAAAACCACAGAGCTTACATTTTATTGGATATTAACAAACAACAAATAAACAAGATATTTCCAGAAAGTGTTAAATGCCATAAAGGAAATAAACAGTGATATGATATGCAAAGGAGGGAATGGAGGAAGAGGGAAGTAATACCAGGTCAGGGAAAGGCTCTCTGGATACAACATTTAAGCTGAGAGCTGAAAGGAATCAACCATGCCAAGAGGGTTCCAGGCAGATAGCATTGTACATGACAGCACTAATAAATAATGAAATTAATTATTATGAATCAATTATCTAGTTCATTAACATTAAGTCCAACAGTCTCAACCTTCTTCCCACTTCTGGTTTGGAATCCACGTTATAGACCAATGGGAACTTGAAAATTACATGCTAGATAATCTGTCTAAAAAGTAATGTGCTCCATTTAAAACAAGTTTAATAAAGTCTATAAAAGAACCATACTTAAAGCCAGTACACAACATCGCTTTCCAGGAAGTAATGGATTGTAGGCAAGGGAGTATTACTACTAAAAACAATGCTTTTCAATGGATTTGGAGGGAAGAGACACTGAAATTCCAGTTCTGTCAGTTAGTTAAGTATGTCACCAACATCACCAGTTTCTCCCTCTATAAAATAGGGAGAACATCTCTTGCCCTGTTTATCTCCAATGGCAGCTATGAAGACTGAATGACTGAGATCCTCACTGCCACCAACACTGTCAGGAAAAGCTCTATCTCTGGCTGCAAAAAAGATACAGCCCATCCACTCATTAAGGGACTCCCAGGAGCCGGCCCGTGGCCGAGTGGTTAAGTTCGCGCGCTCTGCTTCAGCAGCCCAGGGTTTTGCTGGTTTGAATCCTGGGCACGGACATGGCACCGCTCATCAAGCCATGCTGAGGCGGCATCCCACACGCCACAACTAGAAGAACCCCATAACTAAAAATATACAACTATGTACCGGGGGGCTTTGGGAGAAAACGGAAAAATAAAACCTTTTTTTTTTTTTTTTAAAGAGACTCCCAGGGGTCGGCCCATGGCCAAGTGGTTAAGTTCACGTGCTCTGCTTCGGCAGCCCAGGGTTTCGCCAGTTCGGATCCTGGGCACAGACATGGCACCGCTCATCAAGCCATGCTGAGGCAGCGTCCCACATAGCACAACCAGAAGGACCCAGAACTAGAATATACAACTATGTACTGGGGGGGGCTTTGGGGAGAAGAAGAATTAATTAAAATACAATAAAAAAGAGGAGACTGGCAACAGATGTTAGCTCAGGTGTCAATCTTCAAAAGAACAGGAAGAGAGAAAGAGAGAGATTCCCAAAGTCTGACACTCAAGTTTATTTGTTCTGATTTAAACCCAGCTGATTAGAATTGTGTGTATCTGGCTTCCCTACCTCACAGTAAATTAGAAGAGAAAGACTATCAGAAGCAATAAAGAACTGACAGCAATAAGAAAGGACAGCTGACTGGCAACCAACAATGAAGGAAAATAGGAAAAAAAATAAAAAGCAAACACAAAAACTCTTAAAATTAAAGTAGTCTAGACTGTAGAGTCATTCAGCCAGAGGGAAATAATCCTCTTTAATTTAGGAGGTACAAGAGGTATCACTCACAGCAAAAAAAACAAAAAAGTAATGTTCTGAATCATTAAGAAAAGATTAAATACACTTACCACACTGCTTGAAAGAGGAAGTTCAAATATGCTTAAAGATTTCCATTTCCGAGGGTTGAGGGTTTTTTTTGTTTTTTTTTGTTGTTGTTGTTTTTGTCATGATTTTTTTTTTACAAGTGTTGTACCTTAACGGTTGTTTTCGGCTATGCACAGCAACGATCTCACTATGGGCTTCTCTGCACCTTTTTCTCTATGCCCAGCCACTCCCCAGGATGGTGCTGAGAAGCAAGGGAATGGTCAGAGCCAAGCCAACACCATCGGACTCAGACGACCAGCAGTGGGCAGGTACAGTTAAGGCAAGAAAGGGCTTCCTCTAACTAAGTACAACATAAAGTCCAGAAGCTTTAAGAGACCAATACATTTAAAGTCATTAAAAATTAGCATATTTTTGTACATTCTATATTCAAAAAAAACCCCATCAAAATCAAAGTTACACATCAACTGGACAAATCTGGTACAATTTGAGCACCAAGACAATAATGGTAACATTTGAAGAATATGAGTGAAGTGTACCCAGGAATTCTTTACATTAGTCTCGCAACTTTTCTGTAAGCCCCGAATTAAGGAAAAATAAAAAATAATTTAAAAGGTAAACAACAGACAGGGAGAAAACATCTGCAGTGTATAAAGAGACAAGGAATAAAAACCCAGAATACACAGGAGCTCTTACAAGTTGGTACGACAAGACAACGTAAGATGAAAAATGTGCAAAGAATCAGAATAGGCCGTTCATAGTACAAACAGCCAATAAACACACAAAAACATGCACAACTCTTCCAAGGGTTGGGGAAACATAAAAAGAATGAAAGAAAACGGTACCAGCTAGCAAAAATTAGTAATTTTAAGCATGTATCCTTTAGGTTCAACAAGCCCATGGCCAGGAATATAGCACAAGTACATCAAGATATAAAAAGACATGTACAGGGGCTGGTCCCACGGCCTAGTGGTTAAGTTGGTGCACTCTGCTGCAGGGGCCCAGGGTTTCACCAGTTCGGATCCTGGGCACAGATACAGCACTGCTCATCAAGCCATGCTGGGGTGGCATCCCACACGCCACAACTAGAATGACCCACAACTAAAACATACAACTATGTACCAGGGGACTGGGGAGAAAAAGCAAAAATAAAATCTTTAAAAACAAAAAAAGACATGTACAAGGATATTCAATGTAACATCTTATAAAAGAGCCTAAAAAGGGGGGAAGGGGAGGAGAAGGGAAAAAATAATAAGCATTAATAGGAATGCATAAACTCTAACTTGACGCAAGCTCCTTGAGGGGAGAGATTCCAGTATGTTCTGTTTGTTGCTATTTATCCCCAGTAACTGGCACGTGACAGGTACTCAACATATATATTTGCTAAATTAATGGATAAATGGGTGAAGAAAGGACATCCAAAAATGGTATATTATATAGTCATTGAAAAGAATGCAGATAATCACCTAAACAGATGTCCATGAAACAATTGGGGAAAAAAAAAAAACTGGCAGGCAACAAATAAAATGATTGTTTTAAAGTGTAAGAACATGTTTACATAGATATATCTCCTTAAACTTGAAGAAAAGTAAAGAAAGGTACGTACAATCTGATGAGCAATGAAACTGAGGGAATACTTTAATTACTGTACTTTTTTAAGATGTGGGATTAGAAATAACTCTGTTAGTATTTTTAAATAAAAATTAAATTTAAAGAAAATGTGACAAAAATTTTTAAGCTCTACAAAATGTTAAACTTCTTAATATAAAAAAACAGATTAGGAAAAACAATTAGGTAACACACACCAAGAGTCTTAAAATTTTCTGATCCAGAGCCAGCCCTGATGTCCCAGTGGTTCAAGTTCAGTGTGCTCTACTTTGGCAGCTGGATTCAGGACCCGGACAGAAAGACGTCACCTGTCAGCAGCCATGCTGTGGGCAGCAGCTCACACAGAACAACCAGAAGAACTTACAACGATACACAACTATTTACTCGGGCTTTAAGGGAAAAAAAAGAAGAAAAAAGGGAGAAGATTGGCAACAGATGTTAGCTTAGGGTGAATCTTCCCCTGCAAAACAAAAAAGATTTTTGATCCTGATTCTACTTTCAGCAGTCTGGCCAAAGGAAGTATTAGGAATGCAGATAAAGCTTGTAGTATCAAATCCTCACATCGGCATTACTTTTAACAATTATAAAATGGAGAAGCTATTAAAATACTATCAAAAGTTCTGAGAAGTTACATATAGAAGCAAGATATAGAAATAGAAAGAAATGATATACACAGGAGAGATAAAACAAAATTTAGAAAATGCACCAAAATGTTAATCCCAAGATTACTAGTACATTTTCCCACTGTGACATTGCCCCAAATTTTCCAAAATTAGTTTGTTTTGCTTTTATAATCACAAAATACTAAAATGGGTGTGACAAGGTTTTAATTTATTTATATATAAACATTCCTAGACCTTATTTTACATCTGAAACACAAAATCCTAACTCCCTACCTAAACTATATCCCAAGCCCGATTCCTGGCCCTCAATGCCAACTTAAGCAAAAAAATCAAGACAAGTCAGACAGGGAAAAAATATTTGCAAAACACATATCTGATAAAGAACTTGTATTCAAAATATACAAAGAACTCAAACAACAACAGTAACAATAAGAAACAATAATCAACGGGAAAACAACCCAATTAAAAAATGGCAAAAGATCTGGACACCTCACCAAAGACATATAGATGGCAAATAAGCATATGAAAAGATTCCCAATATCATTATGTCTTTAGGGAATTACAAAATTAAACTAAACTGAGATACCACCACACACTATTAGAATGGCTAAAATCTAAAAAGCCGAGAACAACAAATGCTGATGAGAATACGGTGCAACAGAAACTCTCCTTCACTGCTGGGGGAATGCAAAATGGTACAGCCACTTTAGAAGACAGTTTGGCGGTTTCTTACAAAGCTAAATGTACTCTTACCATGTGATCCAACAAACACATCCTAGGTGTTTACCCAATAGAGTTGAAAACATGTTCACACAAAAACCTACACAGAAATTGTTATAGCAGCTTTGTTTATAATTGCCCAAAATTGGAAGCAAACAAGATGTCCTTCAATAGATGAACAGATAAATGGTACATCCATACAATGGAATATTATTCAGCAATAAAAAGAAATGAGTGGTCAAGCCAAGAAAAGGCATGGAAGAACCTTAAATGCACATTGCTAAGTGAAAGAAGTCAGTCTGAAAAGGCTAGATAGTATACGATTCCAATTATTATGACACTACAAAAACAACAGAACTAGAGAGAGAGCAAAAGCCCAGTGGTTGCCAGGGGTTCGGGGGGACGGAGGAGAACCAATAGGTGAAGCACAGACAACTCTTAGAGAAGTGACAAACCATTCTGTATGATACTGTAACGGCAGATAGGCAACATTATGCATTTATCAAAACCCACCAAGAAGAAATTTAACTTCTAAAATTATGAAGTATTTTGACATTCTTGGATTAAATACAAAAAGCACAAACATGTAGCTAAAATGAATCAGGGAAGAGAACATTTTAAACCCGTTTCACAACAGCACCTTACTCCCATTGATCACCTGACAGAGGCTGGGTAGATTCACAGAGAAGGAAAGCTATACTAACCTCGACAATTCCTAATAAAGACAGAGCCTGTAAGTACCAAGTGAGCGCTTAAAGGAGTGCTGTTTATTACTCGGGTGTATTTTCAGACACATGCTTAAACAGGAAACACCATTTTTAGTGCAAGTCTTGGGGAATATAAAAGTTTGCACATAGGCACTTCTTAGGAAAGTATGTTCAGGCTTTCAAAAGAAAGACACTAATAAATCTCATGTTAGAACTTAGGGGCAGGCCCCGTGGCCGAGTGGTTAAGTTCGCTCCATTGCAGGCAGCCCAGTGTTTCGTTGGTTCGAATCCTGGGCACAGACATGGCACTGCTCATCAAACCACGCTGAGGCAGCGTCCCACATGCCACAACTACAAGGACCCACAACGAAGAATATACAACTATGTACCGGGGGGTTTGGGGAGAAAAAGGAAAAAAATAAAATCTTTAAAAAAAAAAAGAACTTAAAATTTCCATCACCAAGAGACTCATAGAGTACAAATAGAAAATACAGCAATAACAGTATTTTTAACAGTACTATAAAATTGCTAATTACAGTAACAGTACACATTAACATCAGAAAATTATCTCATTTCAGATAAGGAAGGGCTTCAGACTTGTCCACTCGGATGAAGCACACCCTCAAGTACACTAAGATTCCATCTGTGATAAATGAGAATTCCTAAGATAATGAAAATATTCTGAGGCTGGCCCCGCGGCATAGTGTTATAGTTAAGTTCACACACTTGACTTTGGTGGCCTGGGGTATGCAGGTTTGGGTCCCGGGTGCGAACCTACACACCACTCAACAAGCCATGCTGTGGCAGAGTCCCACATACGAAATAAAGGAAGATTGGCACAGATGTTAGCTCAGGGCCAATCTTCCTCAAGCAAAAACTATACGTATATATTCTAAGTAGATTTCAGCCAATGTGTTTAAGCCAATCTGCTATTATTTGGCTACATTAGAGCCGTTATTTAGATTCATTCAGGTAAAAACCCAGCAAAAACTCAATTCTGTAAGTCCTACACTAATAGTTTTTCTTTTTTTTTTTGTGAGGAAGATTGTCACTGAGCTAACATCTGTGCCAATCTTTCTCTATTTTATGTGTGATGCCACCACAGCGTGACTTGACGAGTGGTGCTAGGTCCATGACCAGGATCCAAACCTGCAAACCCCGGGCTGCTGAAGTGCAGCACGCGAACTTAACCACTGTGCCACCAGGCTGGCCACTATACTAGTATTTTAAATAGAAAAAACATGGTCATTAAAAACCACTTATAGACAACTTTTTAATCACTATCTTCTTATCAAATATAACCAATCAATGAAAAGCAACAGCAAAATAATATTCAAAAGACAGCCTCAAAGTCAATGATACTGAACAGGTGCAATTACTGAGCATCTAGTAGGCCCCCTAACCCAAATTGAACCTGCATTCTTTCAAATCACCTACTATTTCTTTATCCTTGTATTAAAAATAGTTTTGTGGTACCTAATGTAATCTGCCTAACATCTTCTCAGCAACCACATCATTTACCAAAAAGCTTAAACCATATTTTTAAGTACAATTGTATTGTTAGGTATCACCTTAGTTTATATTCATAAGAAAAATATATGGAAAACATTACTTGCCCAAAAAGGGTTCATTCAATGTTGCCCTAAATGTCTTAGATTGGAATCTAGATTAATAAAATCTGGGTA